CTTTCAACTCCATTATTCTGTTTTATGAATGAGACAATATATGGACAAAGCACTTTCCACTGTGGAGGAATGTAGTCTGGAGAGAGGGAGTACATTCCAGAGGAACAAAAGCCAGCGAAGTTTAGTCTGAGTGGGAGGAAGACAGCCAGAACAGCTCCTCCCTAGGAATTCTCAGAGTTTATGTTTAATGGTGTAAGTAGTTTGTTTTAGTTTGGCAATATTTCTGTCTATGGGAGGAACAATAAAGGAATCTGTTTAGAACAGGGGTGTCAAACTGGCGGCCTGTGGGCTGGATGCGTCACACGCAGGCCACGCCTACCCCAGTTCTGCGAAGGGAAAAAAGGTCACGATATGTCACGTGACGGCAATGTGACATGGCAAGTTTGACAACCATGGCTTAGAAGAACTTTGTTGTGTCTTTGTTGGTTTTTGGAGCCTGACATCCACAACCACTTCTGGAAAAAGCTGACTGAAATTGTGGGAATAGCTGATATTTATAACTGCTTAGTTTATATTATTCTTTTACCATGCAAATGTGATTTCCTAAATATATACAATTTCCATTTAAATTCAGCATAAAATTTTCCATAGTAATAAAAAAACCAGTATCAAAATATTTACAACAGGTAGAGACTCCAGATAGGAATAATAAAATTTCTCCATCTAGTGGACAGATGAACTATCACATTTCTGGTCTTGGGTATAAGGCTGACCTTTACGCTGCGATAATCCAAAGCAGCAATGATGTTGCAGTTTTTTAATAAATGAAAGGCTTCAAAGTCAGTATTAACAACAATGTAGGCAGCAGCATTCACAATTTGCACTGGGTTTTCTTGAGTTTTGCAGATAAACATGAAATGCTTTTTGTAAGAATTTAGGAACATTATGATTCAGCATTATATATTGATTAATCCTAGCTCTTTTTCTCCCTGAAAACCAGGTTTTGGCATTTATGCAATATTTAAGTCTAAAATAGTAGACATGACCACATCAATGCACATGTTCATAAATCTCTGTGCTTTCAGGTCATTTTTTCCTAATGCCTATAGGAAGTTAGCACCTACCCCTCTCCTAGAAAAATGAAATATTCTAGGAAATATTAAAAAGGCAGAATATTATATTTTCCCTAAAGGAGAAACATGTTTCTATACACATAAACTCAGAGCCTCATCTCCCTCCCCCCAGCAGATATTTTGGTGCCAACCTTTCTACAAGACAAAGCTGGGCCAGTTTATCTACACAACAAAAGACATGGCCCTCAGGACATGATAAGATTAGCCCTCACTCAAGATCCAAACCAGGACAAAGCCATTAAGCCATAATAGGAATTGCCCAAAGCCTCTTCATTACATTATCACCTAGCAAGATTCAACCAGGACTGGGACTCAAGACAACCTACAAAGTTACCCCTGCATGGCCCCATGGGAGTCTGATAATCAATGAGAGTACATTTCTTACACAGGAACAGGAAGCTCCAAGGCGAGGCCCAAGAGAGGGTATAAATCTCTCTCCCTCTCTCACCCATGTGCTCTCTTTGCCCAGGATCTCAAACCATGTGGTCCTGTCTACCATTAAACTATCTTTCCAAGCAGTCTACATGTTTCCAGTGTCTTTCTTCTCACTTGGAATTGAACCCAGATGGACTAGTATGCCCATTAATGGAACAGGAAGTAAAACTGCAGCTGTAACTGTAAATAGGTGTGGGCATAAGCAGATAGAGATCTGCTAGTAGATCTCTAGTGTCTGTTCTTGATTCTCCATCACCTGACAGATGTAATTGCACTAGGATTATTCTGTCACTGAATTCTCCCAGCACTCAACGTCTTCTCCAATAAAACCTGCATTCATATTATATTTAAACTTTATTAATAAATATTTAAATATTTAAACTTCCCTTTTATTATTTGTGCCTCTAGTGAGCGGTCTGGTTTTACTTCATTTAGTACTGAATAATATCTTCTTCCTCATGATATATTTAATAATCTCCAGGATCATAATTCAAATTTTCTTCCTTAAGCTTTTCTGATGTTCTAGCTTTCACAGCCCATATTACAAATACAAAAACAGTGGTCTCGACAGTATAAATCTTTATAGTCATTGTGATGTCTCTGCACTTTTTTTGTAGAAATGTCTGCCTTTCTTCCAAGTGCAGATGTTTCTTTGTTTCAAGACAGTTGTTAAGTGAGTTTTAGTTTAGTTTAGTTTAAGTTTTATTTGATTTGTATACTGCCCTACTCCCGAAGGACTCAGGGCAGTGAACAGCCACAGGATAAAAAACATAAATACAAAATTTAAAACTGAATAAAATCGAATTAAACCATTTGGCCGAAGACAGATTTAAAACACTCCAATAAATTAAAAACGAATTAAAATTTACATTTTAAAAAGGGAAAAAAGGGAAACAGGGAAACAGTTTTGCCCCATTTTATGACCATTCTTGCCACTGTTGTTAAGTGAGTGACTGCAGTTCTAAGTAAGTAACACAGTTAAGTGAATTTGGCTTCCCCATTGACTTTGCTTGACAGAAGGTTGCATGATCACATGACCCTAGGTCGGACACTACAACCTACATAAATAAGAGTCAGTTACCAAGTGTTTGAATTTTCATCATGTGACAATGGAGATTCTGCAATGGTTGTAAGTGTGAAAAATGGTCATAAGTCACTTTTTTCAGTGTCATTGTAACTTCAAATGGTCAGTAAATGAACTGTTGTAAGTTGAGGACTACCTGTATATCATTCTAATTTTGGCTTTCTGGTCATGATAATAATTCTTAAAAAAACGACTGGAATATTTATGTTTTTAAAGTACCTACAATCTACTATGGTCTACAAAATCAAAAGCCTTAATATAAATCCATAAAGCAAATTAGGCATCTTTTTGGAACTCCCTTTTCTTTTCTAGGCACCATATGTTAACAATATGATCTCAGGTCCCTCTGTCTGTTTTGAATCCAGCTTGTACACCTGGCAGTTCTCATTCCATGCATTATTGAAATCTGGATTGCAAAAACATTAGTTTACCAGCAGATGAGATAAATGTGGTACTATGAACATAGTACCTACGAGACCGCCTTTTGCCACCGAGAGCCTCCCACCGGTCAGTACGCTCCCACACAGAGGGGCTCCTCAGGGTGCCCTCGGTCAAACAATGTCAACTGGTGGCCCCCAGGGGGAGAGCTTTCTCTGTGGGAGCACCTGCCCTCTGGAACGAGCTGCCCCCGAAGATACGGAGGATTCCGGATTTATGTACTTTCCGCCGGGCCCTCAAGACTTTTTTATTTCAACAAGCCGGGCTGGCCTAACTTCTCCAATTGCTTAATTTTAATTTTAATTTTAAAAGGGGTATTTTAATTGTTGGGCCAAAATTGTTTAATATGTTTCTTAAACTGTTCTTAAATTTTTGTATTCTTTGTTTACCTTTGGCTGTTCACCGCCCTGCGTCCTTCGGGAGAAGGGCGGTATATAAATTTAAATAAATAAATAAATAAATAAATAAATAAATAAATAAATAAATAAATAAATAATTTAGCACTACCATCCCTTGGCCACTGCTCTGCTTTCTATACCTGCTTACAAACCACAAGTAGTACTTTACCTGTATCACCCTTTTGTAGGATTATAAAAGTACAGCTGGTAAAATTATTCCATACCTGCAGCTTTGTTATTAGTAATATTTTATAGGACCCTTTTGATTATCTTTGCAAAGTGTTTGGCCGTAGTTCAGTGACCAAATCTTGTATGTATCAGTGACTGGGAGATTATTTATGCATAGTTATTCCATATATTTGCACCATGTTTTTTTTCTCCAATAAATCTTTGCCTTGTCTTTTCTCATGCTCATCTTTGCCTAAATATATTTCTAGATATTTTTCTAATTTTCATCTCTCTTATTATTCATTTGCTTGTTCTTTGCATTGTTTATAGAATTGGTTCTTTCTTTTTGTTTTTCCCTGAAAAGATTTACTGAGGCAAAATTCTGTCTGTTTCTATTGCCTTTTGCATTCTGCCTTATATTAGATATTTTCAATATATCAACAGAGTTATTTTGCTCTATTTATTTTCTGTCCTACGTTTTGGGTACTAGTATTTTATTTGCTTTATCTTCAATGATTACCACAAATGTCAATCCCAAATTCTTCAGGCATTCTTTTTAACAAACTTAATCCATTGAAGCTAATCCTTTTCTCCATTGCACAATAATATGGAATATTGGTGAAATTATATTTTATGGGGCTGATGATTCTATTGATTTGTTTTAATTATAATTTAGCAAGGAGCTTGCAATCTGAACTGTAGTCACCACAAGGGATTGGTTTTTGCTGACTTGAATGGAGCATCTTTATTTTTGCTTGTCTGAGTATACAGTCAATATACTAATATACTATAGTCAATATATGTTGTTGTCCAACAACAAGCAACAAGATACTCAAAAGGCTGGACAATGTTTGATTTTAAGACGTTGCCTGCAAGGCAATGTCTTTTCTGAAGAGAAAAAGGAGGGCATGTCTTCTTTTTGTCAGACATCTGGAAACCTTGACTGAAATTAAAATCATTTCATCAGCTAAATTCTTATCCTTTTCTTGATCTCCGTTTCTTCTATGATCTGCTCGTTTGTCATTTTAAGGATCCCAATTTTCCAGAGCATTGGGTTAAAAGAAGTTAATCATAGATTCCTTGTGCAGGAAGAATGGACAGGAGTGCAATTTAAACGCCAACACTCTTTTGAAGTAACTGCTGTTTCTTTCAGCTAAATTTGCACAACAAGGTGGTTAACCAAACTGTGGTTATGGCCAGCGATGCGTGAATTGAATCCAATCTAACCATTCCTTTACGGTTCAGCGTGTATTAAAATAGAAAGAAAGAAAGAAAGAAAGAAAGAAAGAATAAAGGCGGTTATGGAAGCCGAGACGCCGCTTGGAAGAAAGACTAAAAAGTAAGCGAGGGCCACGCCCGCTTCTGGCCCACTGACAACCAGGGAAGGACAGACGCGATCGGGGATCGCTTGCTTTGGCCTACCGTTGCCAGCGGCGGCTGCTTAGTGGCGGCGATGGAGGAAGCGCAGGAGCCGGGAAGAGGAGACACCGCCGAGCGGGTCTCGGCTCCCGCCCCGCCGGCCGAGGAAGGGGGAATCTCGCTGCACAATTTCTGCGGGCGTTTAGCGGAGCAGCTGGTGCATTTCCACGCCATGCGCCTGCAGGACTCGCTCTTCCTTTGGGTCGGGGACGCCCCGGAGCTCAGCAACTTGGCCGTGGCCATGTGCACCCCCCGCGTGAGTTCCGGACCTTTTGCCCATCTGAGGTTGCAGCTTTGGGGGGTAAAGGAAGTAGGAGACGATGCACATCGTACTGCAAAAGTGGGGTAGCTGCCGGTTGGCTCCCGACCCAGCTAGCAACCATTTTCTCCGCAGATGCAAGCCGTGGTCTGTCTTGTCTTGTCTTTTTTTTTTTTTTTTTTAACAGAGCTATGAGGAGGCGAACTCGTGCTGCAGCTCAGCTGTGTGGGTGCAGGTAGTCCTTAACTTACGACCACAATTGACCCCCCCCCGCCCCACCAATTATGTTCCTAAGTGAGAAAATTAGTTAAGTGAGTTTTGCCCCCTTTTGATGACTTTTTCTTGCCATGTTGGTTAAGTGAATCACTGCAGTGGTTCAATGACAACACAGTTGTTAAAAGTGAATCTGGCTTCCTCATTGATTTTGCTTGTCAGGAGGTCGCAAACTGGGAAATCATGTGACCCAGGGACTCTGCAACCGTCATAAATACGAGTCAAGCATTTGAATGTAAATCATGTGACCCTGGGGATGCTACAAGGGTCATAAGTGTGAAAAACGGCCATAAGTCACTTTTTTTCAATGCTGTTGTAATTTCAAACAGTCACTAAACAAGTGTTGTAAGTTGTGGACAACCTGTATATCCCCAGAGGTTGATCCCATGATTTCACAAGGCTTAGTCACAAGAAAGTAGATAGGAGAGGACATTGCAGCCTTAAACTATTCTTATAAGAAAAACACACCACTCCTCTTAATCTTTAAAGAACCCAAGTGGGTTCTGAGGAGAGACACATCATTCCTACTCCTTGGAATCATTTGTGTATAGGTGAGCAGAGACAACCTGCTTCCAAATTCTTGTTAAGAGAAGGACTTGTGCTGTGTCTGGTGCTCGACTCTAGGGAGTCGATACACCTTAGCACAGTGATGGCTAACCTTTTTCTCGTCGTGTGCCGAAAGCGTATGCATGTGTGCGTGATAGCACGCAGGCCATAGGTTCGCCATCACGCCATCTTCCTGCCTCTTGCACTGATTTTTGTTTTCTCTAATGCAGCTCCTGGTTTATCTGAATGGAACACAGTCAGATTCTTCAGGAAGTCTGTTTCCCAAGTTATCGGCAGCAAAATAAATGATGGGGGTTTCTATTTTTCCTTTCAGGATGGGACTCTGGGATTGATCCCTGAGATAGTTTTCTTTGACAGCCTCAGCAATCATTATTGAGGTTAAGCTGTGGGTTTGTGCGTCACTCAGAGCTACACTGCATTATGGTTCTGTCCCATTTGGGGATGCAAGATACCTTTTTCTCATCTTGGTGGAGTCGTAACTTGATAGATTGGCATGCTTATTGATTAAGATCAGTGAATCTGTTGCTATCCTAATTTTCAGGCTATGTTCATTTTATATCAGGAAACAGTTGAGTTAGGTATTCTAATCTATCAAAGAGAAGGGCTGGGGGCACACGCTAACACTCTTCCATGATTTGAGGGGCTGTCTCAGAGAAGAGGGGATTCTCCAAAGCACCGGAGGGCAGGACAAGAAGCCTTGGTAGTACAGTGGTCTAAGGCACCCTGTTATTAAGCTGGTTATTAAGACCAACTGCCTGCAATTACTGCAGGTTTGAATCTCGCCAAGACTCAAGGTTGACTCAGCCTTCCATCCTTTCTAAGGTAGGTAAATTGAGGACCCAGTTGTGGGGGCAATAAGCTGACTTTGTATAAATATACAAAAGAATAAAGGCTGAGCGCATTGTAAGCCGCCCTGAGTCTCCGGAGAAGGGCGGCATATAAATAAATAAATAAATAAATAAAAAGTAATGGGTGAAAGCTTATTAAAGACAGATCCAATGTAGAAGAAAGAATTTTTCTGACAGTGAGAACAGTCAATAGAATAGCTTGACTCCTGAGGTTATGGGTGATCCATTATTGGAGGTTTTCAAGAAACCTCAAGACTGGACAACCATTTGGCTGGGATGGCATAAGGCTCCTGCCTTGAGCAGGGGGTTGGACTAGAAGACCTCATGGTCCCTTCCAGCCATATGATTCTAATGTATCTTAGGTTCTGAAACCTAGAGGCCATAGGGTTGAGCTGTTATTGGTGTCAAAAAAGGCTGTACAACATTTGATGTACCAATTAATTACCTACAATTGGTGCTTATGATTTCACAGTACTTGTACAGCTTTTTTTTTGTTATTGCCCAGAAGAAACTCCATTTGGCTACTGTTTTGTAGTTTTTTTATAGGAGCTTCTAAAGATTGTTGGCATATATATGTAGGATGGAAGCAAATTATGCCTAGGAATAAAAGTATTAATGGATAAATGTGTAAGGAATGCCTGTTGTTACAATGGCATAGGCATCTGCTCCTCATTATGATAGTGCTAAAATGATGAATCATGTGCCACGATGGCCTTTTGTACTTGCATTGTGACACTGTAGGCACATACGTAAGGTTTACATCCCTCATTCCCATGGCACACATTTATAGATGGCAAAAGTATATTGGTAAAGGATACAAATGAATGTGCACATTTGAATGTAGATGATACCTTGTAATTGACAGAATCTGAACTATTGCAGAGAATATTAACTAGATTGCGTGATGCAGTGAGGAACATGTGGTTAATGTATCAAAACCCAAGATGGTTGCATTTGACAGGGAAAATGGAATAAAGAATTTCAGAAATAGTGAAAAACCAGGGCAGGTAGATGAATTTGTGCATCATGATATTGTAATATGTTTTATAAACAAAAAACGTATTTTCATACATCTTTGGAGCGAGATTTTTAGAAAAGAAATATTAAGTAAAAGGATCAAGCAAAATTTGTATCTTCAGTGGCATTAACATTGGGGGAAATTCCTTAATTACAGCAATAAATATACCAATATACCAACAATCTCTACTCACAGTCACTCATGCCCTAGTCACTTCCCGTCTTGACTATTGAAACATGCTGTACACTTGAAGGGCTGCCCTTGAAAAGCATCCGGAAGCTCCAGTTGGTGCAAATGCAGCGTCCCACATGGTTTTGTGCAGACCCCAGTGCTCACATATATGAGCACTTTTCTGCAGGAGCTGCTTTGGCTGCCAATTTGCTTCCAAGTGCAATTCAAGGTGTCACCTTTAAAGCCCTTCATGGCTTGGGACCAGGTTCCAAGAGCCGAGGTGGCACAGTGATTAGAGTGCAGTACTGCTACTGCTTCAGCTGACTGCTAGTTCAGCAGATCAGTGGATCAAATCTCACTGGCTCAAGGTTGACTCAACCTTCCATCCTTCCGAGGTGGGTAAAATGAGGATCCAGATTTTGGGGGCAATATGCTATTTAGTATACTGTCTTTGGTCTAAGCCGCCCAGAGTCCTCAGAGAGTGGGCGACGTAGAAATATGAATAATAATAATAATAATAAAAATATCCGAGGGACCGTCTCTTGTCGGTTATATCTACCCGACCCATTAGAGGGCGGAGGCAGGGAATGTTGTGGGTCCCATCCCTTAGGGAGATACACCTGGTGGGACCAAGAAGAAGGGCCTTCTCCGTGGTGACCCCCTCTCTCTGAACAACATCTCCACAGAGATTAGAATGGCCCCCACTCTAGCACTCTTCCGGAAGGCACCGAAGACCTGATTCTGTCAGCTGGCCTGGGAAACCCAGAGTGGGATGGAGCCCATTAAATGGCTCGTGTGAGGTGCTGTCGCCGGGGCGGTGGGTGGGAGGTAATTTTAGTATATTAATTTATTATATGACTTCTTTTGTTAGTTTTATTGTTTTTATATGGGGTTTTATATTCTGTAAGCCACCTTGAGTTACCATGTGCGAATAGGCGGCAATATAAATTCCCTAAATAAATAAATAAATATTTTTTTTTTCCTGAGCAGAGGATCTATGTATGTATGAGTGCATAGAATTGCTCCTAAAACCTTTTCTTTGTTCCAGGACTCCATTCCAGCAACTACCTTACTTTTTGGCAATGCTTCTGACAATACCTCAAATTCTTTAGCTCAAAGACTAGGTATGTATGTGCATGGATTTTTAAAAATTAACACAGGGAAATGGAAGAAAAAAATCTATGACCACATAGGTTTGGCTTGATTGACAGCCTTTGTATGTGCTGGGCACCATGATGCAAAAGTTAAAAAACCCCTAATGGCTCAAATTATATGGCATCATTATAAACCTTGTGAGCTTTAAGCAATCTTTGAGCACGTTTATTGTTTTAAATCGGGATGAGGAACTATGGCCCTTTCATGACTTTGTGGAATTCAACTCCCAGAATTCCTAAATTCCCATGCTGGCTCAGGAATTTTGGGAGTTACAGTCCACAAGTCATAAAGAGGCCACAGTTCTCCATCTCTGCTTTAAAATAATAATAATAAACATGCTCAAAGTTATTCCCAGATATTCCCTGGGGATATTGAAAGCAATTCAATTCCTGTTTAAAGTAAGCTTTTTATCCCGAAGAACTCCCAAAGCTTTATGTGGAGAATTTATCCCAAATGTAAAGGAAATGTAAAGCAACTCACACCCATTTTTTTTTGTCAGTAACTGTGAGCTTGGAACTGTGGAAAACACATGACAATATTTGATTTCTGCTATGCCTTCCTTCAAAGGTTGATAGACTTGTGCTTTGTTTATGTTTTAGCCAGCAAGACGAAAAAACAGATTTTTGTCAGCTATAACATTCAAAATACTGACAGTGGCTTTATACTACTTGTGGAAAATCGTATCAAGGAGGAAATGGCAACTTTCCCAGACAAATTTTAGTTTGGGATAGTCACATTTTTTTGTTCATATTTGTTTTTTTCAAAGAAGATTTTTTTAAAAAAAATGTCACTGAGATATTTGGGATGGCAAAATGCATTCAGTTTAATCGAGCTTCTTTTTGAACTAATGAATAAATCTACATATATAATGAAAAGGAAAGAAGTATTCAGCTCTTCAGATATTCTGGTTGGGAGAACATAGAACTGGAATAAACGCTGCAATATTTGACAGATGTTGCCACCTACTGTTTCTGCTTGATATGACATAGATCTGTTTTGAATTTTCCATTCTTATGCAATCTAGTTCTGTGGCATCCAATCAATGATAAAGCAAAACTGTTCAGTGGAATGTATCAGATTTGAAATGGATTCATTGCAGAATATATGCTCATAGTGAACAAAATACTGTATTTTTCAGACTACAAGACACACTTTCCCCCCCAAAAAAGTGGGTGGAAATGTCTGTGCGTCTTATAGAGCGAATGTTGCCAAAACCCCGCCCACCCACCAGCCCCCAGCCTTCGGCCTCTGCCTCCCAGCAATTTGCCTCCTTGCAGCAAACAGCTGGTCAGCTTTAGCATAGCCTGATTTAGCACAAGCAGCTGATTGGCGGTTGGATCTGCCTCCCGGAATACCACCAATCAGCTGTTCCAGGCTGCAGGGATCCCTCCCTATGGCGCCGTCCATCGCTGCTGCCACCTATCACTGCTGCCACCTATCACTGCTGCCACCTATCACTACCTCCTGCGCCCCATTTTTGGGCCTCCGCGCACCCCATTTTTGGACTCCGCACGTCCTGTTTTCGGCTCGTTCTAGGCGGCAGGGATAGGCTGCCTGGAATGGGCCAAAAATGGGACATGTGGAGGCTGAAAATGGGACGTGCGGAGGCGGTGATAGGTGGCAGCGGCACCAATGGCACCGATGGGCAGTGGCGATCCCTGCAGCCTGGAACAGCTGATACAGTATACGGTAAAACTTACTCAATAAGTGTGGTCTTACCAGCTTCCCTAGCAATTTTTGATGGAATGATGTGCAATGGGATTGACTACTTTCCCATTGTATGAGCACAAGTGGTGAGCAGGCTTACATTTTTTTTCAAGAAATGGGGAAGCATGTAGAAGAACATCTGTGAGATGAAGCAGAAAAGGAGTCACAGGCTCTTTCTCAGAAAAATGAATTTCAATGTATAAAGTAAAATAGCTAGATGTAGATTGTATTACAAAGAAAACCACTTGTACTGTCAAATTTAAAAAATTAACCAATATGTAATATTTACTGTATGTGCTTTGTGATTCATCCATTAAATCAATAACAAGACAAGCTACATTTCAGGTAAATTTAGTGAAATAAAGTTAGAATGTTTTGCTGATCCAGGTCCATGGATTCCCTAAAATCTATCCACAGACCACCAATGGGCCTCTGGGACCCTAAGTTAAGAATCCCTGGTTTACAGTGGAAATTTCAGTGAAAGGCTTGTAAGGAAATTATGCTCCTTATGTCGTATTGGCTAACGTTCACTGCAACTGAGAGCAAGTTTAACTCTTATTTTTACATAAATGCTGCATAATTCCTAGAGGCTATTTACGGTTTGGGGACAGGATTTAATCTTGGAGGACAAGTTTGTGTTGTTGTTTTTTGCTTTCCAAATCTCTAAAACCTATACTTAAGAAATTCAAATCTACCCTGTTAGATAATGGCAAAAGTCTATTTAATCCAGTATTCTTTGCCTCAAGCTGCCAATCAGTTGCTCTAAATAAGAACTTTTTTTTTGGTGGCTTTTAGGAGTTTTCTCTGGAAGTTTAATAGCTGTATTAAAGCTATTGAAGGCTTCAATGGCCATTTTCCTTCTTATTTACATAATCCTCCAGCTCCTGATTTTAACAGGGCATTCTTAGCAAGGCAAGGAGTGGCATGGTGGCCTAAAGATGAAGATGCTCACTTTGCACTTGGAAGGTTGAGAGTTTAATCTTAGGTAGTGGCAGATATTTCTCTCCTAGAGCATAAAGACAAAATATCTGCTGCGAACGCCACATGGGTGTCAGGAGGGGCATCCGGCCAGTAAATGCTCAGCTTCAATCAGTCACCATGGTTCTACCCCGAATAGAAAAAAGTGAGGTATTCTTGGAAAGGTAAGGGGTGGGGAGGTCTTCATGGAAAGAACTTTGGGCAAAGCAGCATCTGTAATAGTGCAAAATGGGGTAATCCCAGTAGAACAGATGAACACTGAGTCCAGCAATAATGGAGCAACGTCTTTTATTCCTGTACATTTACATACAAAGTTGTTCAATAGGTACAACGGGTGTAACATCATGCAGACATTTAGCTTTTAAGACTGTTCTCCAGTAGTTGATTGTTAAGCTTGTGCTATGAAGAAGCACCAACTACTCATGATAAAAAAAAGTACAGTAACAACGATTAGTCAAGAAAACATCATCAGAAATTGAGGGAAAGGGCGGGGATGTCATCCACTACAGACATAGCACATTACTCTGTTCCAAAAAGTTTTCACACAGTACATTGAAAAAAATGAGGTTTTGTTAACTTTATTTTTTTAAAAATCAAGTGTGAAACATATTCAACACTTGTTGTCTTTCTGTCCCAGCTATAGATGCAACTTGATATGACATTCAGAGTTCATTTTAATGGCACTTCTGAATTTGGTGACTTTTTTTTTCTTCTTTAGTTTGGCTTTAGGATCTTGCGACATAAATAGTTGGTAATTTAAACAACACCACGAAAACAAAATCGAGCCAACAATTCAGAATACTCTTAAGAATTCATTCTTACAATGACCCATAACAAGGTTCTCTGCACCATTTTCAAAATGCTTTGATACCAAATGGCACAGAAAGTCTTGGAATGTTCAATTTTGATCTGAACTTTCTTGCTATTAAAAAGGTTTCTAATAAATTAGTTTCAAATATACCTCCCAAAAAAAATGGCTGAACTCAAATTACCGAAAACAGAAGTAGAAAAATTGGAAGTGGACAGAACAGATACTGATGGTCTCCCTGTTTTGGATAAATATAAGGATTTATTTTTTCTCTTCCAGGGCAAGGCAGCCTGCTAGGGCTTCATAGCTGGAAGGTCTGATTTATGGTTCTTAAGGTCTCTCTCCTTTGGTTTTCTATGAAATTGCCAAACAAGATATGCCATTTTTTTTTTAATTTGGCAAGAACCAAGGATTTGATCTGTGTTCTGCAGCAGTCAGTTTTCAGGCATTCTTGTGCTAAAGCTGGTCTTGAAATCTGTGCAACTAGAGAGCATCGCTCTCCTTTTTGTACACCCCATTGCAACAGCTTGTAGGTGATGCAGCAGAAGCTTTATCTGACGAGCACATTCTGTGGTTCTGCAGATGGTTAAGCTTCAAGGCTGCTGCAGGGAAAGGCCGTAGTGGCACTGGTGTGTTGTTGCTTGGTCTCCATAGGACAAAATGGCATCAGGTACACAAATCAGTCTCAAATGTTCATTTTTAATGGAGCGTTCAAGCCATCCTCACATTATACAATGAGTATGGTAGTGGCAGTCGAACTACACTGATGCTGCAGTATATTTGCAGACACAAGTTTCCTACCACTTCTGCTGAACCCATTGAAAGGAACAGCTAGATGACACACTCCCATTCCCATTTTCAATGGGTGACAGTGTTCTTGTTGATCAACCTTTTCCTATTAGAGAACAATATTTTAAACTCTTTTTTAAAATTTAGATTTAATACATGTGTTGCCATTCTGTCCCACTTGAACATTCAAACTGGCTTACAGTTCAAAACAACGGGGGGGGGGGGGCAGACACCACCCAGTTAAAGACAGTGTTGTGCTAAAAAGGTGTGAATAGATCCTTGTGGTACATGGCTCCTACTTGCTGGCCTCCATTCAATTTTGAAGAGCAGAAAGACCATAAAACCTGCTTTTCAGACTTAACAAGAAGAATGAAGCTGTACACCACATACCTGCAACGTTTCACACACTGGAAAAACTAAAACATCAATAATGCCTAATAAATAAATATAGCCAAGTCCTGTGAGGTTGCCTGACAGTTTGTCAAAGTTACAGACTTCTGGTGGTGTGCGTGCAATCAGCTCTATATTAGGGACCTCTGCCAACATCTATGGACGATGCTAAAGCTGTAAAAAACAATAGACCTGTCCAAATGCTTGATAATCTGCAATAAGTAGTTGATTTTCCAGAAACAACCTGGGGGCCAAGTATGTAATAGTCCAGTCTTAAGAAGAATACTTGAATGGGATGGTATGGAAAAATATTGCCAATGGTTTGCTGTGAGCAAGCCTCCAGCAACATGCAGCTTATTATTGGAGGAGATAGCAGCAGAGACCCACCACACCACAACTGTAACAAACTTCTGTGAGTCCTTGAAAATGGATCGAAGTTCAGGTAGGTCAAGCTCTATGAGTAGCCTTCAGAATCTAGGGTTGCACTTGAGCACATTCAGTAGAATCCTGTGGTCCAGTGGATAATTTTATGCCCACTTACTTCATCAAAAAATAATTTAAATTTAGGCGTGCAACATAATTTATTAGAAACATGTTCTACAAAACCGTCTTCAACAAAAATGCTGTGAGGACTCAACTGACAGTCTTCAGGGAGGCAAATTGCAAGGGACGTTGGGCACGAATAACAATACATTAATTCCAAATACCAGATTCAGATCAAAATAATAAAAATGCACATCTTGAAAACAAATATATTTTTTTTTAAATCAAGTGCTCCTCTCTTCTTACAATATACAATCTCCAACCGTTTGCTCTCTTTCTCTGCTTGTTTGTAAAGTTAAGGAGCGTCACATCAGAAAGTGGTGAGGATTGTAGGTGACAGAATGAACACAACGGGGACCTTGAACCGTGGTAAAATGCAAGAAATTCCCTATATTAGTGCATGGTTGTAGTAAAGACTATATGTACAGGAGTGGGGAATTAAAAAAAGCTACTCCACAGCATACAGACTGCAAAAGTGCTCTGTGTTTACTTGGAGCCTGGATGTCAATAATAAATCTCCCTCCCCCCAAAAAACACAAGGCCCCACTCCACTGAAAAATAAATTTATACTAGAAACTCGCTGTTCCTGATATATCACTTAATAACAAGCATCATATAAAAGGCAAAAGGCGTCACACAAATTTGGCACATGAATACTGCACAATTCAAAGAGCCTTATTTTTTGAACGTGATGTCAAAGAGATTAATGGAGGAGGGGTGGTCATGTTGTTAAAACCAGACAGTTTACTAGAGTGTGCAAAAAAAAAAAGGGCTGGAAAAACAAGTTCTACTGAGGTGAACATAGCAGTAGCAACTGAGCGGGGAAACCCACAGTCCTGAAGCTGAACAAACCAGTTGCTTTATGTTTCCCTCCTCATCTGAGTTTGCAAAGGATTTCCCCATGCTTTTCATTCTGTGTATGAGAGTTAGCAGCTTTATGACATTATTTCTCTTTTCAAGTATTTCAAAAGTCTCATCTCTTCTGCGGAACCATTTTGCTCATCAACATTGGAAGCTGTGTGATACTTGCTACTGGATGCAGGTCTATATCTACATCAGGGATGGAGAATGATGGTCCCTTTATGACTTGTGGACTTCAACGCCCAGAATTCCTGAGCCAGCAAGGCTGGCTCAGGAATTCTGGAAGTTGAAGTCCACAAATCATAAAGGGACCATCTTTCTCCACCACTGATCTACACAAAACAAGTCTGACAGAAGAAGTAAGAAGATACACAGAGAAGTCAACAGATGATATACAGAAAGAAAGAAAGAAGGGGCATAACAAGGAAGGGTGCACAAAAATGGGTCCCTAACACTTTACTCACAAATGCAAAATATACATCAAACAAAATGACCACCAAGGGACGAGCTCTACACATCACCACATTGGCTGCTGCGTTGATTTAAGTGGCAGTCCTGTTGGGCAATCAAGTCTCATGATGGCAATGTTAGTAAAAAAAAAAAAAGGGAAGTAGGAATAGTTTAACTAGCCACAAGTTCAGATCTTCTTGCCTGAAGCTGACTTTGGGTGACTCTTGCGTAAGAAGCACTGCTGAAACAGCCAAGGCTTGAGCAAGAGCAGAGATTTAAATTGCCAGCAGATATTATTGATGAATCTGTGGGGAAGAGGAAGGAAGAGATGTTTTGTTTCATTAGCTTCCTGCTCTTAAACACAGCTGATGGAGAAGCAGCTGAGTTTCAAGAGCAGTTACCTTCAGGTTTACTTAGGACCAGGGAGTTAAGAATCTATTTTCAGCCCCAGTGATCATATGGGTCTTGGCTTTTATTTATTGTAGGGTAAAAAAATGAAGAATCCTACAAGAGCAC